GTGGTGGTAGTGGTAGTGGTAGTTGTTGTTGTAACAGCAGTAGTAGTAGTAGTAGTAGTAGCAGCAGCGGCCGTAGCAGCAGTAGCAGCAACAGAAGCATCAGCGGTTGGTGTGATGAGTATTGTCATGTTTGGCAGGCAAGTCTGCACAGTGGAAGCTGATCGTGGCGACAATGGTTACTATGAGTGTGATCCACAGGCCGTCTTTTGTCAGCTCAAGCAAAGACTGCTGACCGAATTCCCCTTCAACAGTGTCAAGTCGCATGCACGCGGTTCAGGATGTCACCTACGGTGACCTTCTTCGCGATGCACATCCTCAGCCATCGAACCGCTTTCTCCCAAAATCACCTTGAGACCCCCAGAGTGAAGTCGGATCCTTACCTCTGCAGTCTTTCTGAATCGGGGCGGTCTACGTCTCCGGCTCAGCACCGCGTGAACACCGCCCAAAGCTTCAGTGGAACCCAGAAATGTTTGGCCAAGACTCTTAGGATCCACCTGCAGCGGTCTTGCAAGGCACGGAATTTCGCAACGGCTAGTCTCAGCAGTGGAGACAGCACCCTGGTATGAAGCTGGCATCGAGAAAGGGACATGGGAGAAATGATCCTGCATCCTGCCGTGCACGGCCTTGTATGTGACCGGCATTTCGTTAACGCCACTGAACGGGACGACCTCGCGAGTGAAACAAACATGCTGCTAGCTGCTAGGTTGTCGCGGGTTGCGGCTACTGTGTTGAAACAAGCGGGCTTCAACCATCCAAAACGGCCAAGCCACTAACCACACGCGGAAAACACTTAACCAGCATCAGTAGCAGAAACAGTAGCGGTGAAAGAGCAATGGTTGGGGTTCTACAGTCGTAGCATCACATGCCTACTAGTATTTTCCAAGGGCTACTGGTGTCATCACACATACAATCTAGACTGACGACTACAGAGACTGCACCCACGACGACCACGATCAATACAACGCAGCAATTAGGTCGGTCGCCCAACATCTATCTGTCTATCCATCTATCTATCCAGACGACGTGCTCTCCAGAAATGCAACCTGCGGCACCACCGGCACCACTGCGCTCCGACCCGCTCCCAGATCCTACCTTGATCTGCCTTGCGTTTGCCCCCCCACGCAATACTAGGGTGAAATGGGATTTTGAAAAAGCAAACCTGAATGTGATTGCCATTGTGCCTTGTGGCTACCCGAACAGCCTGCAACAGGCCATAACCCTTAAGAATTGACCCCACCCTACCCGATGGCCCAACCCCTCCCTAGATCTTCCTAGCCCTGGCCGACTTAAGGCACCCCTGGGGTGCGGCCTCGTGCCACCGCCCGTGAGGAAGACGCAGGTCGCTAGAGATCGCTGCCATGAGGCTGGCGTCGTTCAGTACCTCCGAGCTGGGCGGCTGGAAACTACGGGAACGCCTGCTTCGTGATCACAGCAGCCACCGTAGCCACGTGTCAGACCATGGGAACGTCTGGCCTCGAGGAGGACATCCTTCGCCTGGCTTCCCCCTGACTCGTGGTCATCGAAGACGGTTCGGCTGTTCAGGTCACCCTGAACGAAAATCACCTGATGGCTTTCGAAGAGGTTTGTACATGCCTTTGTACATGGCTTCATCGATTGAGGAAGCTTTTTCGCACTGTCGGTGCTTGGTTCAGGCTGTGCAGAGGGTGCTGTTGTGTGCTTCACAGCTAGGAATGTAGACCTGCACCTGTCCTATAGCCTTTGATAGTGAAGGGCATCGCTAAACCCCAACTGAGGCCAACGAAAACCCAACGATCCGCAGCCTCCATGCCCCCCCAAAGCCTACCTGCTCTGGTGTCCAGGATGCGTGGGGTCTTTTATGAACAGAGCTGCCAGAAAAGCAACCCATGTGTGCTCGCAGTTTCCTGCCCAGACGACGGGAAGGTAGCTTGCCGGGCTCTGCTGCATCTGGGAGCCGGTTTTTTATCGAGCATAAGGGAGTAGACTCTCCATGGTAGGATCCTTATGAAAGGGAACCCGACATAAGCCTACATAAGGTACTAAGGTACCCCCCATATCAAAGGATCTCGTTTCTGTCGGACTCGGAGCGTTGAGGCGTGTGGCCGTGTTCTGCTTCGTCAGCTCCCAGGCCATAACTTTGCAGAGAACTTCACGCAGTACGCGGGCGTACCTTTGGAGTTAGGAAAACACCGGCGAAAGTACTTCGACTGCAAGATCTGGGGGACGATGCCCCGAAATGACAGAAAGCTCGAGCAGAACCGCAAGCAAAAAATGCGCATTTCGGTGACGAAGTGGAGTTGAAGGCCCTGCTGGCTGCAGTCTGGTCTAATGTGAACTGTCCCGAAGACTCGTGACGCCGCACACGAGAAACAGACGGCAAGGATAACATGGCAAGTGCAAACATTAAGAACAATATCAGCCTCCAACACCATGGTTGCCGCCGCCAGCACCACCGCAACCACCCACCACGACGCACCGGCTCGCCGCAGGTGGGAATGCCAATACATATGCATCACATTAGATGTTGAATCATGTAGAGCATCGGTAGCAAGGACAATACGGGCTGCAAGACAAACAAATGCGGCCGACTACAGTGAGACCGCCCGCTTCAGCATCACCCTAATCTTCGTCATCATGCGTCGCCATGCAGGCACTTGGCTGGATCCAGTGTTCAAAGGCTCGAAGGTCATGCTACCAAACACTGGAATGCTCCTGTGTCAGCCACTACCACTGGCCTCTGAATGCCAAAGGTCTCAAGTTCGAGACTTTCTCAACGCATTAGGCTCTTGCATAGAAGCTGTCGCAGCACAGCAAGAACAAACCCTGGCCTTCGCTCCTTTCGAAATGTCTGATCCAGGTTCCAGCCTAAAGTTTGGGACTCCCTGAAGCCGCTGCTGCAAAGCTTCTCGATTTTGGCGGCCATCAGCTTTTCTGAAGCCTCCAAGCTGCTTGTCAGCACCTCGGCACAGAGCCGGGCTTCACAGAAGGCTTGGCCAGGTGGCTCGGTCGTGGCTTCCCTGGAAGAAAGGTTGAGCCAACGGATTGAGAAGAGATCCCTGCAACAGCTCTCCCTGCATTGAGAGACAGCGCCATCTGCAGCCGTCGCATGGGGAAATGGGTGCCGAAGAAGCAGAGCCTGTGCGGTCGAGCTTCTGGAACTGGGGCTCCACTTAGGCTGGAAACCGAAAGCCACAGCTTCAACTTGAAACTTCAACCCTGCATACGATTCGGGTCGCAAACCCTGCTTCAAATTCAGGCTCCGCAAGAGCAAAAGCAGCAGGGGAGCGGTACTGGCAGGTGATACGTACTAGTGGCGGTGATAGCAGTAGTAGTAGGGGCAGCACTAGCAGTTGCAGTAGCAAGGGGTGGAGGGAGGGTTGGGGGGGGAAATTTGGGGGGGTGGACGTGGGGCCTAAAACCACACGCATCTGGCCTCAGCCCATCGCCTCGGCGCACGATGCTCGAACCCAGCAAGGCCTCCCGGAGCAGCTCAGGCGCCGAGTTTCGAAGCCCTAAAGCATAGAACTTGACTGCAAGTTCTACCATGATTCGTACATCCGCACCCTCTGTTCCATATCTCTTGAAGCAGGGCTGTGCAGCTACGCCTGCCCCTCCACAAGAACATAAAAGATCACAGCATGGAACCTGTGGCATACCACGTTATGGACACCTGACAAAGCTTCAAAAACCCTCGCTGCCCGCTGCCCCACCGCAACAGACGCCTTCTCCGGGTTCAGGGTGAAAGCACCATCGAGGCGCGTCTCCCCCTGCTCCACTTGAAAGAGCTCCTGGCCAGGAGCATGAGCCGCGGGCCACTCACGAAAGAATTGGGAAATCGATGGAGATTCGAGGCTTGCACTCCATATGCCCATGGAGACACCCGACTTCGGGATGCGAGCCGAGTCCTGCCGAAAACCAAGGACTGTCTTGACCTTGATAGGCCAGGGACTCTCCGTTCGCTTCGAGATCTGCTTGTTGACTAATGCAATCTGCCAAAGGTTGAGGTATGGCTGCGTGCTAAGCAGCAATGCAACACCTCAACAGCTAAAGCCCGCCATCTGCTTGTACCGTCATATGTATGTAGGTGACTGCCGCAGCCTTGGTCCCCAAAGCGCTTAGAAGCAGGGAAGGGTGGAAGGGTGGGACCAACACAAGGAGCCGCACGCGTCGCAACACGCTAGGACAGCAATTGCACCATCATAACTTTACCTAGTATAGACCCTACATGGAAGGAAGCTTATCCCAAGCAATCTTGAGAAAGGTAGGTACTCGTGACATTCGAAAGTCCACGTCGAAAAGCATTTGGAACGGCCAACAGTCTTGCAACCCAACATGCATCAAGAGAACGGCTACACATCCTCATGCCACTTTGGACGGCCATCCGAGGCTGGGGCATTGCCAACGACACGCTGAACGAGCTTTTTCCTGCAGGCTACAAAGCTTGGGGTCTCTGAGAGGCTGGGACAAAAAGGGAACCTGTCCAAACTCTCGAAGCATCCATGTAACCTGATGCCCTCACGTCCTGCACCAGGAGAAAGGATTGTAGATCCTGCACCATCAGGCGGTTCTGTGCTGGGCACAGTATGACTGATTTAGGAATCTGAGTTGCAGCTTGGAACACAGTAGGGCTGTGCAAGCAAGCTTCGAGGTAGTCTTCTTCCGCAAGGCATCACGGTGCACCAAGGTGTCCTGGTTTCCGCAGTGACAAGACAGGCAGAAACCATTGAACCCCAACAGGCCCATCATAACACCCAGGAGACACGGAAGGCCCGACCCCAAACAGGACATGGTCGCCAAGCATGACCCCAAACACGAGAGATCCGCAGTGTCAAAGGACCCACACCCCTCAGACCTGTCACTCTTTCACTCCCAGGACAACGACAACGGCCCCTACTGCACAACACTTCGCACACGTACTGCATTCAGCGACAACTCCTACGATCGTCGCCACCGCTAGAAGCATCTCAGTTCTGATGCAACTTGATCTTTTCTTATTTACTTTGTACAACAACACTAATACACTATCGTCGCCATGAGCATTATAATCGAAGCCATCGCTGCGGTCACTGTACACGTCGTCGTCGACGGTTGTGGTGGTCGGCGACATCATCGACACGGGCATCGAAGTATTCGCGGCCACAACAGCCCGACAGCAGCGACAAGAACTTCCCGCCTACTACGTCCTACCACGTCCCACCACTAGCACTTCAATTGAACGACTGAGGCGAGGGGCCAGGCCAGAGGCTGGAGGCTTCCGATGCCAAGCCTCCAAGTGGGGCATTCCATGGTTTAGGGTGCTTTTTAAGGGCTCCTTTGTACAGGGCTGCTTCAGGAGTTGGTCGTTCAGCATCCAAGCGAACCATGCAATTGCTGGCGGGGTCGCTTTCGGCCCGGTCTTGCGGCAATTGAGGTATGTTCGGCCCTCCCGTTTTCAGGCATTGTGGGATGTCGGCCGTGTGTAGCGCCACGAATCTTGCAGGTCTCTTGAAGGCGTTTCGCCTGTTGTCTCAAGAACAACGACGGCCAGAAAGCACGATTCGCCGGAGGACTGTGGCCCTAGCCTCCACCAAATAGCTTTGGGGATGATTTGGGAGTTGAGGCTCATGCGGCGCATGCGCTACAGTGGAGTGAACGAACAGCATGGTTCTTTGACCAAACAAGCAAAGGAGGAGCTGATGCCAAACCAACCTGAAAGAAAAAACCCAGAAGCCTGAGACCTTGTCGGGACAGGCCTCCAGCTGTTCTTCGACGAAGCCCCGCATCTTAAAGCGGGCCTGCCGGTGCTGCGTCCGGAAGCAAGGCACTTGGCGACCCTTGACAATAACCCGTCTATTACTCCTGTAAGAACCCCTCTACTGACCCTTATAGCACCCTTACAGTTGGCCTCATAGTGTGCTTTGCAGCACCACCCTTTTGCTCGAATTGGAAGACGTGCTCCCGTTGAACTGGCGGTTTCTTGTGGAGCAACGTCCTTCAGAGTCCCCTGGTACTTTTGCGTCGACGGCGGCGACGGTTTGTGACTTCCTTTTCAGACTTCACTCCCAGGCGACAGAGGCGCAGATTCTCATGACTCGGGCTGGTCTTCATGCTGCATATTTCCGAGCTTGACCCGTATCCGGTTTGTGAGTGAACGGGATCTAGCCTTTTCAAGGTGTGTTTGTCCACGCAGTGGCGGTGCGGATGAGTTTGCTTAGCAGGGTGTTGAGCCCGGCTTTCTGCGACTTGGGACTCGAAGTTTGATTGACTCAGGGCATCGGTCGTTCTGGGGCTTCGTGCTCGCACTGGCCTACGCCATTTTGTACAGGGCAGGGCTGCTGGCAGCAAGGCAGTCTTGGCACGGCCTCCTTGAAAGTTTTGACTCCTTCTCGGAGGGATCGCTGTGGGCTGCACCGCGCACGGCAAGTGTGTGCTATAGTACCCTTCTAACAACCCTTCCCACCCATCCCGCCCGGGCCTCCGTGAGCGCAACGAAGGCCAGGTCAACCGGAGCCCCGTCGCTAAAAGGCTGCTCTAAAAACTGTGCAAACCTCGGCGCTTTCGGGCTTCGAGTGCTGTTTTTCGAGCAGGGACTCCTGCGCCAGACCTCTATCTACTGCAGACTGATCGACAGATATGTACTGGGCTCGATGATCACTTGACCAGGACCGGAAGGTTGTGAGAGGTCTGTTATGACCGCCGGTTGCTCACTTGCTCGCCACCTACCTCTCGAAAAGACTGACGTCATGTCAGACCCCTCATTATCTGAGCCCGTGCCGAAAAAGAGAGCCAGGGCAATGAAAGACAACAAGTTTTTGCTATGCTCCGGATATGCAGCATCGGCTGCAGCTCGAGTCGTTTGCCTGGCGGCTTGGCTGCCGAGACACATGCCCACGAAGGGGTCCAGGGCCGCCTGTGACCGTGACACATCACGGTTACGATGACGCGAATGCTCATCATGATGGCACTGGAAACCGAGGGCCCAAAATGATGGACAGATGGCAGACCGGTTGCATCCACAAATGGAGAACACAAAATCAACTGACGCTCACCACACGCTGCTTGCAAGCTCGGAGTGCTTGCAAGTTTAGCTGACTGTCTCGTCGTGAATTTTGCTTGTTTGCCAAGCGTCGATGTTGGCCATGTTAAAGTTGAAGAAGCGCATACGAACGGCGGTCGGCTCGTGAAAACCTCGCAAGCAGGAGTGAGGCCATGCCGGTCGCGAAAGCCCTGAACCTAAAGCCCCGTATCATTTCTGCAAGGCTTCGAGGATAAAAGACGTGCTGCATGCAGCTGAGTCACGCAACTCCACCTTGGCCCCCAGCAATGCTGGCATGGTGATTTTTATGACCTGTGAGACCTCTGTCTAGTTGTTCAAACCCCCGATTACGTGCCAAGTCGCGGGTGCCTCATCAGTACTGCTGTCTGCTGAGTCATCCTTGGCTTAGCCCAGCATTCGAAGTTTTGTTTAGTCAGCTCACAACAACCCATCCCAACATTAAACCTCGTGTCTGGCATGCCGTTTCAATCCGATGAAGAATCCTCCTACCACCAGCATCCGACGCATCAGCAACCAAGGCACTGGGCAGGCGAGGTGGCCCATGCCTGTGGCTCGAAGAACTGGAGCACATTTGAGCACACAAGGCTTGACTGCTCGGCGCCTTGTGATGGGATCGCTGCCCTTGCAGGTGACAGCGTTACACATCCATGGCTCTGCCAACTACAACGAGCTAGGCGTGGCAGCCACGGCTAGAACGAAGGCCTAGCTTGCTATGCTTGGCCACAGTGTGGATTGCCTGACAGGCCGTTTGTCATGCCCTCGGAGTCGACATGTGTCGACTTGTGTGTAGGGTTGGACGCTTAGGACTGCGGGCCAACTCCCCCCTGTGATTCTACTGATGACTCCTGATCATGACAACATCTTCGTCCTGAGCCACAAGCGAGCCGTGAAGCGCCTTATCCCTCTTTGCCTGCCTCAGCGTGGCAATCGCCGCACAAGCAAAGGGGGCTATGATAAAGGATCGAAGAAGCAAAGAAAACCAATGTGCCGAAAACACCCTGCTTGCAATGGCTGAACAAATACTTACTTCGTGCTTCGCACCTCAAGCTCTCCTGGGGTGCACCCACCGGCTCATCCAGCGGGCCTCGGTGCAGCACGGTTCTCAAAAAGAAATCGCTGAAGAAACAACTACTGCTGCTACTACTAGGGCTACTACTACTACGACTACTACTACTACTACTACTACTACTACTACGACCACGACGACGACGACTATTGCGACGACTGCGACTACGAAAACTACTGCTACTACGACTACGACGACGACTAGTACTACCACTAGCCAGTACTACCACTGGCTCCTCTGCTTCTTCTACTTCTACTGATTCTACTGCCATTCCTGCTGCGGCTGCTAGTGGTGCTACCACTGCATGCTACTAAGACGACGACGAGCACCACAACTACTACGACCCACCACTACCACCACCGCACGACCAAAACGAAACGACAGCACTTTCAACATTGTGTGGGTCGTCTTGATCGTCGTGGTGGTGGCTGCAGCTCCCCATGTACCTTTTCCACACAGAATGCAAACAATCAAAGCGGTCTTCCTCAACATCACAATCACCACCAACAGATCACCGTCGTCATCATAATCTCGGTTGCCAATGAGTGGCGGAAATTATCACCTCTATCATCATCATCATCATCGTTCACCAACATCAGCATCGCCACCATCAACATGTGCAAACATTAGCATCAACATCAGCAGCATCATCCTCATGATCATCACACGCATCGAATTCACCTTCTTCTGCATCTTCCTCGCGAAATCACCATCGTCATCTTTACAGTCATCATTACCAACATCCGTTTGGAAGTGTTTCGAACTGCCCTTTCGGAGTGGTGCTTCGAAACACAGTTCAAGGTGTCTTGTTGGAGTTCTTCGAAGCGGTACTTCCAGTTGCATTCTCACATCGGACTCTCCAAGTTCCACGTGTCAGCACAACACGTCGTGCCTTGTACACATCATCTTGTTCAAGCGTGCGTTGGCCACCGTAACTCTGCGCAACTTGTGCAGAGTCCGGGGTGTTGTTGTGTTGCTGTGGTTGAGTTGTTGCACACTTTCACCAGGTATCTGATGAGGGTGTCCGTGGAGTCTGCATTGCACACCACAACACAGACCACGTCAACTCTGACTTCGTATGTTCTAGTGCGACTCGAAGCGGCAGATGACACGAAGCAGTCTTTATCGCGGTCGTGCAAGCTTCACAGCATGCAAAGCAGAAGTTGGAGGGAAAAGCCAGAACGAGATGTGAGTCCCCCATAGAAATGGCACGGGTCGTGGCAGCTGCATCCTGGAGGCGCGCCAGCAGCAAGAGACCAGGCCTGGACGATGCTCTTGTTTAAGTCTCCTTTGCTTCTCGATAAGATGGTGGCTTAGGGTATTGGGTGTAAGCGTTTGAGTCCAACCTGTAGCTGGGATTCCCTCGCTTTTTTTCATGATAGCAAGGCTGGCAGCCATCGCAGTGTAATGCAGTACTGATCCCTGATCTTTGCAATGTCTCTCATTGAGAAGTGGCTGTGCGTTTCGGTTCAGGGGCTGAGGCTCGGCGCTTGAACGTCATCCTCACAAACAGCAGAGACAACTTGACCTTGTGTCTTTGTGGTTTCAATGTCAACTCTAGTACCGTGCGTCATGATAGCAATGCGCACTGTTTCGATGCCATCTTCAGCCCAATGCATAGATTTCGGCTTGGCAACTCCGTCAGCAACGTTCAAGCAGCGTCCATCTGCTGGCGTCACCGACGGTGCTTCTGACTCTGTTTGCATAGGACTTGCCGGAACACTCACTTCCACAATGCAAAGAATTAGTAAAACTGTACAATCACAGAGCGCAATTCCTGCTTGTTCAGTCAATCTACGTGTCAGATGACAAGTCGTCATCACTCTCGTCATCAACAGGGTGCTTCTGACTCTGAAACGGGTTTCCTGCAGGCTTGGAGCTGTTAGCTGCTAAGACATCCGCAAAGCCCTCACATCGAACCGGAGTGGCTTTTGTGAGACACGCCACCTACTGAACATCCAAACCTTTCTCCACCACGTGGCTCAAAAACACTTGAGTATCTCCGGGTCGAACTCGAAGCAGTTTTCATATGGACAGCCTTGTGGCTCCAAGCAGGGGCAGCGCGCCCCAGCTTCTCACAGCGCTTCTGCACGAGCCTTGGGTTCTTGTTGTCTAGAAAGTTGCTGCCTTCTTGCTGGCTTCAAAGCTGGCTTACGACCTCACATGGCTCTTCGGCAGCTTCTGTCTTGCAGGCTGCTTCGTCCAAGCCCGTCCGCCGGAGACAGGTGTGAGGAGCAACGATTCACGGCTTCAGGTTTTGAAAGTCAGAAATGCTGCCCTGGGGCTTGGAGAAGGAGCGAACGGCCGTCTTGACGTATAGGTTCTGCAGCAGTGCACAGACGAACACAGTTTGACTGACTCAAAGACCCCGCATCCCCTCAGCTCGTGTCTGCACTGTCCCAAAACCCTGCTTCGCTACTATGACGATCGGCCTTCATGCTCAGTTGGGTCTCATAGTCCCACCTGGAATATCAAGTTCAGGACATCCCGGCGAAAAAATTGAAGCAGTGCGTTCTCGTGCTGGCGGCTGAAGCTAATACAGGCTTCCTTGAGGGATAGCAAGCATAACGACAAACTCTTTACATTCTCGACATGCTCTCTTTCTGCTCCAGAAATAGTAACACCAGTGGCCCGCCCCTGCTGCTGTAAGTAACCTGTGCTTGCGCTTGTCTATTTCTCGTCTTCTTGCAACTAGCAGCTCACTAGCCGTCCAAACTAATGAGCAGATTTGAACATGTTGTTGGCCGCGCCGCAGCATTGTTACAAACTGGCACTGCCATCATTCATGACGCTCATCGTCTTGAGCCTCACCTTCGCCACTGTCAGCAGAACCACTGATGAAGAAACAGTTTAGTGCCAAGGGGGTTGTGCAGGCAAGTACAAGTACCATTAAGGTCATCGCCACCATCGCCACCGTCAGCATCATCGTCGTTCTTGTTTGAGCTTGGTTCTTACCGTTGCTGTCGCCACAATGGTAGCTTCGAGCTCCAAATAATGAATATACTAGCAGTAGCAGGGGTAGCGGTAGCAGTAGCAGTAGCAGTAGCAGTAGCAGTAGGAGTAGTAGTACTAGTAGTAGTAGTAGTAGTAGTATCAGCAGCAGC